AATAGAAATCCCTTATGACCTAGCCATCCCACCACTGGGTATCTACCCAAAGAACTTGAAATCAGCAATTCCAAAAGTCCCATGCACCCCTATGTTCATCACAGCATTATTTACAATAGCCAAGACGTGGAAGCAACCTAAGTGCCCATCAACTGATGACTGGATAAAGAAGATATGGTATATATATACAATGGAATACTACTCAGCCATGAAAAATGATAAAACCGTCCCATTCACAAAAACATGGATGGAGCTTGAGGGTATTATGTTAAGTGAAATATGCCAGATAGAGAAAGACAAACTCTGTATGACTCCACTCATAGGTGGAAGTTAACATTTAGACAAAGAGAACTGATTGGTGCTTACCAGGGGAAAGGGGGTATGGGGGAAGGGCACAAAGGGTGAAGGGGTGCACCTACAACATGAGTAACAATAATGTACAAATGAAATTTCACAAAGTTGTAAACTATCATAATCTTAATAAAAAGAAAAAAATTATGTTTCAAATACATCTGACTCTTTCTTGACTAAAATGATAGTTTGAACCTGAGGCCAAAATTTCTAACAAGTGTTAATCTAAAAACTTCAAGACAAACTTTGAGATGAGTGCTTTAAGAAAACAAAGCTATGGTTTACCCACCAGCCTTTATTTGGAAAGATAAGATTACTGAATATTTATATGTTACCATAAAATTTGCATTGTAATCTATACTGTTTCAGCATTTTCATCATAAATTTGAGTTTCTATTTGTTTACTACAAATGGGAAAAAAAGTTTCCAAAAGAAGGTAATACACAAAGATTAGCTTTAATTGTTGCAAGTACCGTTGATTGTTAATGTTGAGACTAATAATGTTGATTGTGAAAATTAAATGTGTTTGAATGTTGTAGGAGAAACTATTCATTTAAGTTTTATATTTTATATCCCGTAGGAGGTTAATTTTGCTTATTAACTGTGATATTTAAGCACTGCTATGAACTTCACAGTTGCTAATAACCATTATATACTCCACCAGTTTAAGATAGAATATTTCTGTACCAAGTTAGAAAAAATATTTAAAACCATTTGTATTTGCGATGTTATTGGGGTCCAACACAACGTAAAGTCCACAGATCAGTGAAGGAGGATCATAAAATACAGAATAAACACCCTGGGAAAACATTCCAGACCACCAAAATCCATCTCCATGCTTTTCAGTACTATCTCCCTTTATTACAAAAAGATGGCTAGCGCTCCTTTTCTGTATGTCCTCTACCTCTGAGTTCATCATTTGTATGCATCGTGTTCCCACCATCTACACATCATCCCTGTTTGATTGATATCAAGTTCAACTTCAAAAAGCCTTCTCAGTTGCTTCAGCACAAGTCAAAATTTTTCAGTCTTCTGGAAAACAATTGGAACTTGATCTCTCCCTATCTTTTGGCATCTAACACTAATAAATAGTTATCTGGATGTATATGATATAAGTATCTGCAAAGTAACATACTCTTTAGTAGTATCTATATGTATAGATTATCTCCTCTGGTGGATGATAATTAGTTGAAGGAAGAAACACTTAATATCTATATTCCCTACAGGTTTACAGAGATATACATGGGAGATGCTTAATGTTTTTTGAATGATTTCAACTTTTAGTTATTGAAAAACATCATTTTGAGAATCAGTCTTATTATTTTGTTTTAATCTTCGGTCTACTTTCATGTCACTTGCATTTTCCTGATATGTGAATAAAGGACATGAAAATATGCAGGTGAGAGTTTGGTTTGTTGTGATTTAACTCTCCCAGATTTTACTTGTTATTTGGAACTCTAGGTGGTTTCAATGTGACCAACATGAAATATATTTTTATTTATTCTGGGCATATATGCTTGAATAATTACTGAATACTGATTTGTATGAACAAATTCTCATATTCTGGTAATTTCCAATATTTTATTGTAGTCTGCAAAATATCTTCATTATAGTACTTCAGCAAACACAATTTCAACTGTTAAAATTCAACATTACTACATTGTTGGTAATATTAAGTAATTTTTGTTGTGTGATGTCAGCTGCAGCTTAAATTTCAAGTCATGGAGTGTTATTAATATTATATGGTTGGAAATAATTTCCAGATCAATGAATCAATGTTATCTTAATATTCTGTGTCTTTAATTTTTCTACCACATTTATTTTTTGAATAGATTTTATAAAAGGAAGTTGCTTTGTGTTGCCAAGCTCATTATCTCAGGATTTTGTCCAGAGCTGAATTGCTTTGTGATCAAAGGGCAGAGAGAACACCTCCTGAACTATTGAACGATGCTGATTTGATGGGCACATCACATCAATGAAAGCAAAAAGGAGAGAATTTTCTCTGCAAATACAAACTTGAAGATATTATACTCAAAAGCAAAAACTATTTACTATAGGAACAACAACAAAAACACGATTCTGTAAAGCGAAATAAAGAGTAACTTGGACAAATTTGTCTACTAGCATCACTGGAACTGATATTAACTGATCTGTATTTTTTATCTGCAGGCTTGACTAGTGATAGTTGACCTTGTGTCAAGTGAAGGAAGTAAAGAGAAGAGTTCATTTCATATCTAATTCCGTGGAAGTCTTCTCTCTCTATGCATACATACACATAGACACACGTGTGTGTTTTGGTAAGTTGTAGCTGTTCTTTATGGTTGGCAAAAGCAATCAATGCTCACACCTGCAAAGGGCTTAAACATTTATAAAAGGCTTCCACAAACATTTTTAGTCAACTTACAGAATGGGGTCAATTTTAAACAAACTAGTAATTTAAGCCTCAGAGGTCTGAAGAGAATGGTATGCTGTGGACCGCATAACTCATTCACAGCAGGCTAGATATCGGAGCCCAAGTCAGCCAACACCAGATCTGCCCCATGCACTTCTGTTGGTATGTTCACAACTTTAAAGTACCACTGTATACATTTTTTCTGACATTCTTCTAGTTTCCACTTAATGTTAGCTTACACATTTATAAAGTTCATGTTGGTGGGAAGCAGCACAGAAAAGAGAATGAGGAAGAACTACCAAGAGTAAATTCACTGATAATATAAAAAGGGAGAAAGCTTTTAATAAATTATTATGTTAATTAAGTTAACAAACTTGTCCCTCTCCTGTCCAGCCCCTCACATACACCCCTCCCTATCCAGTAGGATTTCACTTTTTCAGATGTGATATTGGGGAGGGTGGAAAGAGGAGACCCCACTAAAGAGGAATTTGAAGGAAAAAGGCAGCAAATATGGCCTAGGTGAGAAGGACAGCTGTGGTTCGTTAGATACATTGATCTGCTGGACAGTTTGAGTATAGGTTTAGCTAAAGTTATAAATTTAGGAATACTGAAACTATGGGTGCCATTGTGATTGTCCTAGCAGAATACACAGGAAGAATTAAAAGGGCAAAGCATGCACTTGGAAACCATAGTCTATGGGGAAGGTAGGTACAGAGACGTCTGTGAAGAGAACACTACCAAAATTCTTAACAAAGTTTATTTTTAAAATGAGATATTCACATAAGAAATTATTCTGTTTATTTCTATATAAATAAATGTACAACTAATTCATGCATCACTAAAGTCTGCTAAATTAAAGAATTGCACAAAAACATGGTAATGAAACATACATAACTTTCAAAGATTTGATGAATATACTCTTTTGTGATTACTTACACCATGATGTAATTGTTAAAAATGCAGTAACATTTACAAAGTTTAAGTGTATGATAAAAGATAGCACTTAGTATATCAAATTGATTATTCTAAGCTTGAAATGTTAATACTCAAATTTATGTAATGTATATCATGTATAATTTTCTACAAAATGAGAAGTGGAATATAAGTGAGCATAATATGTACATTTATCAATTTGAACAGGTCAAATTTAATTATCATCAATACCAATGAAAGCACATTTCTGTATATTAAACCTTTAAGACTCTACTCAAATTTCATCCCTTCTTTAGGGACTTCACACATTCACTAAATAGGAAATATTATTATTTTTATTCTCTTAAACTCCCATTTACTTAGTTTTATTTTTTTTCTTATGGTAAGCTAATAACCTTTATAGATATGCATTTTTATAATTTTATACAAATGTGGGACTTTATTGCGATTGTGTTTTGTAACTGATTTTTAATCCCTATATAAAATTTTTTTTAATACCTATGGAAAATACGGTGACTATTTTTTGTGACCTTATTCTTCTATAATACTGTTTTTTTCTTACACAAAAATTTCAATGATCTAATTTTCAAAATTAAGTTTTTTTTCTGATTGTAGAAAAAATATCCATTGTTAAAAGACCAAAAAAAAGTTAAAATAAAGATCATTTTATCATATAACAGGTCCTTCTATATATTTTTTCTCCATAAACACACAAATGTTATCATAGAAAGATGTTTTTAATCTTCTTTTTTAAAGAATATATCTGCTCCCTTTCCATGTTATAAGGACTGTTATAAGATATTTAATAGTTCTATAGAATTTCACTATTTGAAAAAAAAATATATTTTATACATTCTATACAATTAAATGTTTGGGCTGTTTATAATTATCACTACTATTAAAACAGACTATGAGAAACATCCTTTAGTTTAAATCTTTTCAGACATTCATAATACTTTTCTTATATTAAATCACTAGATGTAGAATTGCTTTGTCAAAAGGAGGAATCAAGGTCGTTGATAAATAGACTAAATGCTTATTGCACGTTCCTTGTTTCTTTTTTCTAGCACTTCCCTAGTAGTCTTAGTTTACCTTCTTTACTAACCTTTGAATCTGTGAAAGGCATAGATTCCATGTGAATTACCATAGGATGTGTGTAGGCCTAGTATGTAGGTCTAACAATTATAAAAAGTTATTTTTAAAAAATTGTGTAATATATATCTTCCATTCCTTAAACCTATAGCCTGTTACTCTATTCAGTACACACAAGTGTCATATTACTGTCTCTAGGTGATGCATACATTCTGTTTCATGGGTTCTGAAGATACAGACTCAAGGAGGATCACAATTGAAATCTGTGCAGCAAAAGGAAATATGTGACCCTTAGGTTTCATCTCTTGTAATTTGAACAACAGAAATCAAGGAGGCTTTTGAGTTATTGGATTATCTGCCTGCTCTAGTCACCTGACTCTGGAAGTAACAAAATTTGGGTCCTCAAGGGTAAGGCCCTTAAGTGTCTACAGTTAAGAAGACTATAGAACAGTGTGTCAGTTTGAAATGTTTAATGATAACTCTGCGCTCTCACTCTTGGTCACTTCTAGAAATAGCCTTTCCTTCTCACCCCTGAATACTGTATGAAATTTCATCTTTCACTCTATTTGTGGTTCAGGCATTCTGACACTCAGTTCAGAAGGAAACCCATTTATAGTTACCTGTTCCATTGCTTAAAGTTAAGAAAAACAATACACGTTGACTTTATGGCATTATAGAATTTCAAAACTACCATCTTTTAAAGAAATGCGGTAGCCCAGTATTTTGAAAGGGTAAGAGGTCTGATGGAGGTACTCTATGAGCTCTGTGGGTAAGAGCTGGAAAGATGCACACACGTGTGTCTTGGAGAACTGAACTCACCTGGAGCGGAAGCCCATCACTTCCTTCAATGCTGGTGCCAACATGCTGCTAGGCAGACACCCCTAACTGGACTCGCACGGGCCAGGAACTGCTTGCTTTTTATTCCTACCTGGAACAAAATACAGCCTCAGTCATTTTTTTTTTTCGTGTTCCTTCAAGCATAGTAAGATATTCATTATGTTATCTTTTTCTGTCATATTAGACACTGACTTCTCAGAATGCTCAACACAAAAAAGCGTAAACTCTTCACCTCTATAATTTACACCTCAGTGATTAATATAGCACCTGTGTGAGTCAAAGGGGCCATCTATATTTTATCTTCTTTAAATGTTCCTTATAAAAGTTTATTATTTCAGTGTAATTATTCTTATCCATTTGGTTTAAGTAATTGATCTGTTAATTTAAGAAGCCATTTTCTATATATTGTCCTTAGACACTAAATCAAAATTTTTAAACTGCAGAAAGAAGGTGATGTTGGAAATATTTTCTGAATTGTTATATTTTTTAATTTATTATTATTATTTTTTTTTACCATGGAAAGGAATCTCAGTGGGAAACAGAATTTAGTAATGCAATTCCATTAGTTTTATGCCTGCCTTATTTTATGTTCTTCAACTTGAGAGACACTGATGAGGAACACTAATGTTTTCTCAAATGCACCAGAGTGTTGATGCTTTGGAAGGTAAGATGAAAATAGACATTTTAACCACATGACAAAACTGTAGGCTTGGCAAAAACCTCAGAGCTGGGCTGCCTGTGTATGAACGGGCTGTGTCAGGGCCTTCCACTCCCCACAGTTAGATTCACTTGACCTTCAGCATGCCTAGCCTTGCCCCAGTCTAGGGCACAGTTGGGTTAATTAAGGAAACATGCAAGAGATGCAGCAGTATGCCAATCTCGTTGCAGTTGGTCCAGTCAGCACTTATGTTGCCTTTGTCCCCTCCTCAGCATCGGGAGTCTGACTCTGAACTGAATCTCATAGTGGAGGTCCCACTATTTGCTGACCTTCCTGCTGATGCTCACTGCCTACCTGAACCTTCAGAACAAGGTTATACTCTCTACTGTTTGATCCACCTGAAGGCACCATCTTACCTCTTGTGGTACCTATTCTGCCCTTATCATTATTGGAATCACCACCTGATGCCTGGTATCAACCTCTGCGAATGAATAATATGGCTCCATGTACTTCAACACATGCAGTGAAATCTATTTCCCTAAACCCTAACCTTCTTCTGATGTCAACTTAGGAACCAGTTATTTTGTCCCATCTTGCTATTATGTAGTTTAAGAGTTCTTCCTATGTAGTATAACGTGAAGGGTTTAAGAAAGGCCCACTTGAATTCCTTTATAGAACTCAAATCTTAAGAATTATTGTTCTTTCCTGTAGTCCTTTTCTCAATATTCATAATTCTCTCATATCATTCTGGAATCTACTTTATCCCCTTCATTTCTACGGCTACTACCACAGTAAACTTTCATCAGCTCTCACTTAGATAATAAATCAAATGTTGATCTGGTACCAACTGAAGACAGATGGCATTTTCCAATTGGGACAATTGGTGGAGAGTTTAATAAAGAGCTTATTTACAAAACCATGATCTGTGCATAGGGAAACCTCAAGGGAAGTTGTTGTGGAGTTGCTATCATCACAAGGCCTGCAGGGACAAGGACAGGGAGCAGTTACTGCCATCAGGAGTCCGACATATGGAGAGGGCCTCCTGGATAGAAGCACTAATCTTTGGGAGTCGCAGGCAGCACACGATGATAGCATGGAAGGGAGCCCTAGGATAAAGCACTAATCTTCTCCCCTCCCCTCTGGCTTCTTGCCCACACTACATGTGGGACAAACCACACTGGAATTCCAAGGGCATGGGAGCCTGGTGATCAACTCCATCCAGGCCATTTTCGAGGGCTAGAGAGTAGGAAGGAGAAAGGTACAGAGTGAACCTGAAAGAATAGGAGAGATCCAAACCCTCTTATCCATACTTTGGAGCATGAAATTTGGAATCACATGTAGGTTTGAGTCCTAGTTCTACCTACATATGTAACTCTAGATAAATTACTTAATTTTGAGATTTTCAGTATTATTATCTACAAAATGTAATAATATGTACTTCAGAGTTCTGTTGTTAGATTAAACGGCATAATATGCCTACAGCATGCACTACTACTAAGTGCCCAATGTTAGAATAGTGGCATAATTCCTCTCAAAGTGCAAAAATAAAAACATACTATAGTCATGCTAAACTCCTTGGCACATTTTCTAATAAACCATGCATTTTCAAATCTGAATTTCATAATTATTGTTCCCTCTGCTGAAGAATAATTCTTTCTTACCTCCACCACCTCAACCCTCGTTTGCCTAGAGAATCCCTACTGATATTTTACAACCCATGAAATGTGCAGGCTCTCTCAGGAAAAGGGGATCATCCCCTGTTTGGTTTTCTATGGCACACATCACTCTGCAAAGCTATTAAAGCAGGATTCTCTTTCTATTTGACTGTGCACTCCATGAGGGGAGGGAAAGACTATGTCAGACAGATTTGTATCCTCAGAAGGTGGTTTTTTTGCCAGGTTTTTAGTAAACACTCAGTAAACATTAAGCAGATAAATGTGTATTAGGAGAATAAGTCTGTTACAATGTAAGGAAAAGGTTCAGTAACTTCTTTCCTCTTGGCCCAAAGGGAAGATCAACCTGTGACAGATGGTACATAGTAGGGAGTAAGACTATCATAGGAAGTCAAGAAATCTCTGAAGAGATCCCAAAGGAAAATCCAAGCAACTTTGCAACCTTTCCCTGGGACAGCCTTGCTGGAATGTTCACTTCATTCATTTCAAGGCTGCCAGATGCACTAGTACAAATTGATTTCAAGCAGAAAGTTAGAAATTTACAAACTAGGTAACTATGACAACAAACACCTCTCTGTAGCTGATGCTTTTGACTGACAAAACCACCAGATGAATTCCCAGCATCTTCTCAGTGACTAACCAAAATTTTCCCCTGTAATTTTAAAAAACATTGTTTTGTGAATAGGTAATGGCTTTGCACGTACCTAAGCCTCACAAAATGTTATATAGAACAAAGTCTTGATCTCACCCTCACTTCCATCCTCTCCATTTGCTACCCTCAAGAAAACCATCTTTATTGGCATCTGTGTGTCCTTGAAAACTTTCCTTCTGCAAACACAAACAAATATGTACTATATTCTTATTCTTCACCCTCTTCCTAAAAAAAGGAAAACATTTACTATTGCATTCTTTACCCAGTGTTATGGCCCTTAGTTGTTTTGTCACCTAAAGTAACTTACAGGGCTTTTTATATCAGTAAATAAACAGCATCTCTGTTATATCCAACTTCATGTTTTTCTATTGCTTTGAGACACAGAAAGTTATCTAACCAGACCCCTCCCAATTTTTTCTAATATTTTACTATTATTCAAGAGGCTATAGTAAAAAAAAAAAGTATGTAAATTAGTATCTAAGAGGTACATCTTCAGATAGGTCAAAGGTAAAAGCATGTGTAACTTTCAAATATATTGCCAAATTTCCCTGCTTGGGAATTAAACCAATTTATGCTCCCACCAGCAATCTAAGAGACAGCTTAGGTGGGCAGACTTTTGGATTCTTGCAAATCTGATAGGTGAAAATTGTACATCAGTGTAATTTTGATTAGCATTTTTATAAAGCAGGGTGAATATCTTTTCACAACATTTAAAGGATATTGTGTATCTTTTTGTGTGACATACCTATTAATACCCTTTGCCTTTTTTATTCCAACTGCAATTTAAAACATCCCTTCTTATCCTATGTATTTTCAAAGTGAAGCACAGTTATTAACGACATCAGCAAAATATTCCTCTATGTTTATGTTTTTTAAAGCTTTTGTCCCCAAGCTTTTGGTAATCTTGTGCAGGAAAGTTACACATCACAAAGAGGTCCCACAGTGACCTCTGGTGGCAACTTGCTCCACTGCATCTTCCCCGAATTAATTCTCTGGGCAAAAGGTACACAGGTGGATACAGCTTGCTATGGGACAGACTCTTAGCCCCTAAGCCTAGCCCAGGTCTTCTCACCCTTGAGACAGTATGGATCTACACCCACCCTGAAAACAGAGGCATTAGAGCTATTTCAGCCCTCAAGGAACCAGGTTTATGCCTGCAAGTTGGTGAGCATCCTAATTAGGCAGTATTCATTTCTTTTCTAGTTTTTGTTTTTTTTTTTCTTCCTCCTCCCTTTCTTCTCTACTCACTTTAAAAGATGGCTCTAGAGTATTCTGACAGTGAGCTGCAGTGCAGGCTTGTTCCAGGCAGTCAGACTCTGCTTTACCCTTCCCTATACATCAGTGAAACCAAAAGGGCTATCACTACTCTCCAGAATTCCGAGTACTAACCATATCTCAAAGCCAGAACAGTCAGAAGCCTAAGTTCATGCTGTAGGGGAGGAAGAAATACTCCTCTATCCTTCTAGGTTCTTCTGGCTGGTCTAAGAATTAAATTGACATGAGACAGATAAACAGGAGAAAATCAAACACATTTAATAACATGTATACATGAGAGAAACCCAGGAAAACTGAGTAACTTCCCAAGATGTCCAAAGTCACCACATTAAACACCATCTTCAGCTAAAGACAAAGAAGAATGTTGGGGGAAGTGGTTTGGGATTTCAAAGGGGAAGAAGGCAATGCACATGGAGATAGAAAAGCAAATGTTTGGTAAACAGGTGTTTGCCAAGCCTTGCAAAGACAATGGGATATGGAGAGGACTCTGATCAAATGGGCCTTGCTAGGTTCCTCCCTGTCTACCACACCTAGTTCACATTATACTCTAGTTACCTTTGGTGATAGTTCCTTTCTGGAACAGAGCTTCTATCTTAAATTCTTTTAGGTAGTTAGGGGAAAGACCAAAGTTTCTTCCTAAGTCTTTTGTTCTTAAAAGTAGTCAAGCTAAACAGACACATTTTGAGGTAGCCAATTCTGCTCCCCTACAACGCATTCATTCCCCAAGTATTTGGAATCCTAGGTGCAGTGTTCTAGGTGCTCATGAATTTTTCAGTGAACAGACAAAAAGTCTCTCCTTTTGGATCATTCCTATAGCTGGAGGAGACAATAAA